TGGGGTTCGAACCCACAAACCATGAGATCACGACCCAAGCCAAAGACGCTTAACTGACTGAGCCACGCAGGTGCCCTTGAAATTTACCATTTTAAAATGTATGTAGTTCTGTGGCATTCAGTACGTTCACACTGTGCTACAGATTGTTTTTAATCATTTTCATCTGACTCCTCACATGCATGGGACTTGCATACTTCTTTTGGAAGGAATTCCTTGATGTGGATTTGTGAAGGAGAGAGTTCTCTCTTACCCGCTTTCTCTCTGTCCCCACTCCCTTTCTCTCTCTCTGTTTTGGCTTTTTTTAGAGCAGATGTTCTTTGCAAATAGTTGTCAATTTATTCTGTGTTCAGACTCTTCCAACCTCGCTGCCATAGCTGAGGTATATATTTTGGATTACAACAATTTAACAGATCCCCCTATAGTGTGAGTTGTAAATAGGCATGAGGCACAGAACAGAATGGAAATGGGGAAATGATACATCATAATGCTAATCTCAAAGTCTTGGCAGAATAACATTAACATGAATTTTTGGCTCTTCTTTAGGATGAAAAATAGCTTCGAAATTCACATTCATCCTAATAAATGTTGAACATATAAACAGTTTTAGTTTATGTTTGTGGAAGAGCTTGTTCAGAATTCTTTCTGAAGATTAGTACAGAAAATTCATGTTCTTTCAGAGAGAACGTTGGATATAAATGATGATTTCCAATGAGGCAGAAAAATGGAGTATTGTTATTTGTGGTAGAATTTTCTTCAATCTCATACCGTTTTCCTATTATTGACAGTCTTTACTATGTTCTGAGTTCCTTGGCAAATTTTCTCGATACCCATGATTATAGAATCTTGTGATGTTTTATGGTCATTAAGTGTCAAAGGGCCTAAAGGCTAAGGTGGTAGGAACATTTCTTACACTTCAAAAGTTTTGAGACGTGCTATAGTGGGGTTGTGTGTGTGCATGTGTATTAGACTTTCTTAACGTTTACTTCAAGCATGTAATCTTTGGAGAGTGCAAATTAGTTAATTAATTATTAATTAAGTATATGAGCTGGGGATTTGAAATCTGGTTTCTCTCTCTGATTGGGGGGGCGGCCGCCCCCCCGCGGGTTTAAGTTTATTTATTTCTTGTGAGAGAGAGCACAAGCTGGGAAGGGGCAGAGAGACAGAATCCCACGCAGGCTCCACACTGTCAGCGCAGAGCCTGACATGTGGCTTGAACCCACGGACTGCAAGATCATGACCTGAGTGAGCTAAGATCAACAGTTGGATGCTTAACTGACTAAGCCACCCAGGCACCCCATCTTTCTGATTCTTTGAATGTATTATTAGACTAAAACCTTCCACTACCCATGTTTTAGAGTCCTTCTCTTGAAGGATATTGAAGGGAAAATACTGGCGATAGAAAAAAAAAATAATGTGTGGTCATGTGAATACATCCTACTTATCACATCAGTTTCTATCTTAAAATATCCAACCTAATATGGACTCTCTAATTAATTTTTAATAATCCCTCTAATTAATGTTTAAATGGATTTTTTAAAACTCTAGGTCTATTTGTGATGATTTTTTTCCTTCACTTTTTAATTGATAACCAGCATTTGCCTCTTCAACGGGGGCCAAGAGGAGCCATATGAGAAGCCTCTGCCTTGTTGACAGTGAAGCAATTAACTTATGTGGGTTCAGGCCTGTAAATCATCTCCCATGGTGCCTGGGGCATAGGATATGCTCAGTAAATGCTAGATCTTGCCCACATATTTGAAATCAGGGTCACTTGCAGTTGCTTTGGATCTTTAGGAAGAGTATAAGGGCTTGGCGTTGGCTCCTGGAGAAGGAGAGAGCATCAGGCCAGAGAGACACTAATCACCCCCTGGGCATGTTTCAGAAGAAGACTGAGCAAGAAAGCTCTACATGGTCCATACAGAGAGGACCTTCCTTGCCATTGTTACAGAATTTTATTTAGATCACAAACAACAGAATCAATGAGGCAGAAAGTAAGATTCAAATCTTCACATAGTTGGTTTACCATGTTTACTGAATCTCTGCTCTGTGCCACATGTTTTAGAGATAAAGGAGTGTAGGAAGTAGGCAGTGTTGACTTGTCCTCAGGGAGGAGCTCAAAGCAAAGGTGACCATGTGTCCCAGTTTGCCTGGCAAATTATGCAATGAAGCTACTAACGTGGAAGACAGGTATTAAGAAACAAGAAGAGTAAATTGGCTGACTAGTGTGGACGTGAACGGAGAAGACCTTTCCGAGGAAATGACTCTGAATAGGAAACCTGAAGCATGAGAAATAGGTATTGATGGGAAAGGGTCATGTTCTCACTTGCCTCAGGCTCTTCACACTTCGCCTTTTCCCCCTGTTCCTGAAGGGGACATACTCCCACTCCTCTCCCCTCCCGCTGCACAATATTACTGTTAACAAACGAAGTAGAAAAAATGTTTTACAAACAGCAGGTAGCAGTCCATGAGTCGTAAAGTTAATTTAGTGAGTAGTGATCCAATTTAAAACAAGTAAATATTGAAATATTAGATTTTTTTTTAATTTAGCTACTACTTTGTTTTTAGCTGTGACTAAAATATGAAGGAGGGGCGCCTGGGAGGCTCAGTCGGCTAAGCATCCGACTCTTGATTTTAGCTCAGGTCGTGATCTCATGGTTTGTGAGTTCGAACCCCATATTGAGCTCTGGGCTGACGGTGTGGAGCCTGCTTCGGATTCTCTGTCTCCCTTTCTCTCTGCCGCTCCCCTGCTCGTGCTCTCTCTCTCAAAAGTAAATAAACATTAAATATGAAGGAAATTTGGGGACTAGGATTGAATAAGAGCTTACCTTCTGGAGTTACTATGGAGTTCCCATAATACCTTGTGGAGTTACTATGCACATTAAGTAAGTTTATATGTGTTACGTACACATTTAAGATATGTTTTAGTGACTTTGTTTTTCTTTTTACCTGTGCTTCTTTAGGACTACATCCTGAAAAAGAGGATGCCTTGTTTTGATATTTATGTGAGTTATATAATTCCCAGAAAGAATAAAATAGGTTAGGAAAGAAGTACAGCTAATTTCATTTCTTTGTATTTGAAAGGAAGGGAGCCATGACGCTCATGTTCTGTTTAAATGTCAGGCTATTTCCACAGGAGGATATGATGCTGACATAACTCTGAGACGGTGAAGTTACATCAGAACAACTTTTTAAATAAATCGGCATGCAGCCCTTCAACCTTTCCTTCCCCTGCCCCCAAACATAATGTTACTTGTCTGGCCACAGTGTGTTGTTTTGAGGGTAGAAAATGTCAATGTAGAGTAACATTTCCACTTATTTCTATTAATTTCCCTTCCCCTTTAGATTTCACCACCCCATCCTCAGTCCTTTGGAAAGCAGTTTCCAGCTGGAAGTCGACGTCCTGAGTCATCTCCTGAAGGCCCAGGCTCAGGTCTCCGAGTGGAAGTTCCTCCCGTCTCTGGTGAACTTGCACAGTGCTCACACCAAGCTGCAGACTTGGGGCCAGATCTTTGAAAAGCAGCGGGAGACCAAGAAACATCTGTTTGGAGGGCAGTCTCAGAAGGCCGTTCAGCCCCCACACCTTTTCCTTTGGCTGATGAAACTCAAAAACATGCTTCTTGCCAAGTTTAGCTTTTACTTTCACGAGGCATTGAGCCGACAAACGACTCCTTCAGAAATGAAAACGTTGACTGCAAAAGCCAACCCAGACTTCTTTGGGAAGATTTCCAGCTTCATCAGGAAGTATGATGCTGCCAATGTGTCCTTAATCTTTGACAACCGAGGTTCCGAGAGCTTTCAGGGTCACGGCTATCACCACCCCCATTCCTACAGAGAGGCCCCTAAGGGTGTGGACCAGTATCCAGCTGTGGTGTCTCTGCCCAGCGACAGGCCGGTCATGCACTGGCCCAATGTCATCATGATCATGACAGACCGCATGTCCGACCTGAACAGCTTGGAGAAAGTGGTCCACTTCTATGATGACAAAGTTCAGAGCACCTACTTCCTAACCCGCCCAGAACCTCACTTTACCATTGTTGTCATCTTTGAGTCAAAGAAATCTGAAAGAGACTCCCACTTTATTTCCTTCCTCAATGAGCTCTCACTTGCCCTTAAGAACCCCAAAGTTTTTGCAAGTCTGAAACCTGGCTCCAAAGGCTAGCAGGTGATTTGTGGGAAAGGTTTTCAAGACTGGAAATTGTGTTCTTAATTGCTCTTATGATCTACTGTGGTCTATGATTAGAGTTTCCATTTATTCATGCTTCTCCCAGAGCTAAATTAGAGACAGATCCTCCCTAATTGTGTCGCACACTTTATAAGCAATTAAGGCCAATTGAATTAAGTATCCAAAGAGTAATCTAGGAAGTGATCATGACTACTGTGTATAACCATGGTACAGCGAAGTACTTTCAGTACTTTCTCCTATTTTCCTGTATTTCACGTAGACTGAATATTTATTAGCCTTTGATTTTTCTTTCCACATGTTTTATATTGTTCTAAACTTTCTGTGTTAATGCAATTCCAAATGCTTTCTCCTTTCCCTTCCTTCCGGGATGAGTAATTGGGATAAGATATTAAATGGCCTTTTCAGAATCAAGGACTGTACGTTTTCTATCTCATAAATTAGCAAAGTTAACATAAAATTATTTTATGATTCTCATCAACAAATTAATATTTTGGATGCCAAAGCTAGTGTCTTGGTGAAAAATAGCCATCAGTTATTGAAATTAAAGGTGAACCAGAGTGGTCCCATAACATCAGGTGTTTAACAGTTCAGAAGATCCGTAGAAACTTTAATAGTCATGGGCTCTTTTTTGGGATGATCTACACACCTAACTGCATTTCTTTTTACCCTTGAAAAGTTTGAATTTTTCATTCTGTTTGAAAGTTAGCAGAAGCCATTATGTGGGGTTTCTTCATTCTTCAGTATATTATCTGCTTGGCTTTCTGTTTATCACCTTTCTGCTGAAAGGCATGTTCATGTTTGACTCCACTCTCTGCTTCCTCTTCGGCTGGAAAAGCATGTAGTCTTAGTTTTTCGTCCACTTTTAGACATTCATGCAACTCAGCCTGCTTTTATAATGTCAAAATGTTGGTCTTGATACCTTGTGCTTGCTAAAAATCAGTTGTGTGTGCCAAAGACCTCTTCATAGTTGAATAATCAGATGAGTACTTAAGCACATCAGAACTTGAGTTTCATGCCTGTCTCCTCCAAATTATTTTTAGAAGCGGTGATGTCTCTTAACACATGCCGCCTTCACACTTTCCTTCCGCAGGTGTTCCTGGGGTAGTAGATGGACCCCTAAAGGTATAATGGGCCGTGGAGGACTTCACTTCTAGGTTATTGATTACGAATAAAAATAAGCCACAAAGAGTAATTGAGTTGTTACTATCTGATAGTTCCTTCAAAACTTGTGTGTGACATAATCGGATCAGTCCTGTTTCTCACGATGGCACGGAGCCACGGTTTTACTGGGCCGCCACAGCAGGCAAGCTGGCAACATGGGCAGAGCCACTCCCAGTCTGTGCCAGGAGGCCAGCCCACCTTGGTTGGGACTACCTGGTGGAAGGACCTACTGGCCCATTTCCTTTCCTTTTCCTTTTCCTTTACCTTTTCCTTTACCTCTTCCTTTTCCTTTACCTTTTCCTTTCCTTTTCCGTTTCCGTTTCCTTTTCTTTTCCTTTCCTTCTCTTTTCTTTCTTTTCTTTTTTCTTCTCTTCTCTTTTTTCTTTCTTTTCTTTTGCTTTTTTCAAAATAAAAGTCCTATGATTTATAAAAAGCCAGTTTGCTTTAAATAGAAAGCAGCGATTGACTCCTGCACTTTATTCACTCTGGTCATATAAAAATCCGAACAACACTGAACTTTTATAAAAAACTGGAAAGAATTAGAACTAAAAATTCGAATCATTTTTCTTCCCTTTTGTATTTTTCCGGGAAAGTGAAAAATATTCCTTGGTGTTCACGTATTTTTTTTTTTTTTCCTAGAAAACAATCACCATTAGCCTTAATGAAATGATCCCCATGTACCTAAAGAATTATGCTTCAGTGGAACTTGGAGAAGAGTGTAAATAAAACAGACAATATGATATTTAAATAACCAGTCCTTGCCTGGGAAATGTATATTTCCTATGTATTTGAAATGTATATTTATTTTTAAACATATTTTGGTTCAAGCCAAGAAACAAAGTGATTCTACTCTGAGACTTGTCCTCTTAAATCAGTAATGAGATGATCTGTAAAGTCTGTGTTTTGGTATAGGGAAGAGTAAATCCGCATATTCTCTGAGGACTGTTTACTTGGAAATTGTTTCTGGGGTGCCTGGGTGGCTCAGTTGGTTGAGAGTCTGACTTTGGCTCAGGTGGTGATCTCACAGTTCGTGAGATCCAGCCCCATGTCAGGCTCTGTGCTGACAGCTCAGAGCCTGGAGCCTGCTTCGGATTCTGTGTCTCCCTCTCTCTCTGCCCCTCCCCCCTGCTCAAAAATAAATAAACATTAAAAAAAAATTAAGAGAAATTGTTTCTAAACCACAACTTGATTGGGGTGCCTGGGTGGCGCAGTCGGTTAAGCGTCCGACTTCAGCCAGGTCACGATCTCACAGTCCGTGAGTTCGAGCCCCGCGTCGGGCTCTGGGCTGATGGCTCAGAACCTGGAGCCTGTTTCCGATTCTGTGTCTCCCTCTCTCTCTGCCCCTCCCCCGTTCATGCTCTGTCTCTCTCTGTCCCAAAAATAAATAAACGTTGAAAAAAAAATTTTTTTTAAACCGCAACTTGATCAGTTTTTATGCATAACCAGGAGTGTGGTCAACACTTACTGAGTTTGTCAACAAGCCCATCAAGGAGTGTTCATTTTTCGATGTTGTTTGGACACAGGGTGAACATTCACAGCTTTGTCCTCTTGGGTCCAACCTGGTATCTGACTATATCATTTCAGGGTTTTAGGGAGTGTGTGAAAATACAGCCATTGCCCCTTATAAACAGCTTTGCTTACCTCGGTCTCATTTATCCATGGTCACCCGAGGTCTGGAAGCTGAAAAGCCAATTCCTCCTCCTGACGAATCATCAGGAAGTCAGTAGCAGCCTACTGCTACCTCACAAAGCCTGTGTCATTCACCTCACTTTATCTCATGGCGTCAGTATCGTATCATCTCCCATCATCAGAGAAGGGTGAGGACAGCACAGTCAGATTTTTAGAGACAGAGCCCACATTCACATAACTTGCATTACAGTACAATGTTAAAACTGCTCTATTTTATTACTGGTGTTAATTTCTTACTGCGCCAACTTGTAAATTAAACTTTATCATAAGTATGTATGTATAGAGAAAACCATAGTATATACAGAGCTTGGTACTGTATACAGTTTCAGGTGTCTGTTGGGTGTCTTCAGCGTACTTCTTGCAGATAAGGGGGACTACTGCACAGCTTCTTAACTAAGGATTCAATACTCCCGATATTGCTTTGTATATTTCAACACATTGTAGAAAATTCACTTACAAGAAAGAAAACGGTTGGTAACTCACCGCACTCCCGTAGAGTCACTCATATGATCTGTAAAATGCATCCACCTTTTGATCGAGCAGCAAACTTGGCTTTTGTTTTTTCTTTCTTTTTTTTGCTTGTCAGCCTCTGGGCTTACTTCCTTATCTGTAAAATGGGGATAAGAACATATGGGCTGCCTTTTTCAAAGGATATATAAGAATGGAATGACATCATGCATGTAAAAAAGGCTTTGGAGCTTACTTGGGTTTGAAAGCTGTATAAATAAAAGACGGACCATTCTTTCCTTAAACTCAGTACCTCTCCTGTTCTCGTCTTTCTCTTCAGATCTGTGGCATAAGTGTGCTTAGTCATTATGTCTGAACGGTACTTAAAGAACTCGCTTAGAAGAGGAGGCAGATAAATGCCTAACCAACTCACCCACCCCTCTCTCCTTATTTTAGGGATAAGGTGGTTCTTTGTTTCCAAGTTCTTATGCTTGGTTGATAGCATCATTCAGTTCTATATTCTTACTGATATTTTCGGGGGAGGAGGGGATCTAGGTGCTCTTTTAATTACCAAGAGAGGTGTGTTAAAATCTAACTGTGATTGTAGAGGTCTTCCTTTATTTCTGCAGCATTTTGCCTTTTGTATATTGAAGCCCTTATTAGGCCCATATACATTCACAATTTTTCTTTCTCACATATTGACCATTTATCAGTGTGAAGTTTCCTACTTTATCTCCATCTCTACTCCTTGCTTTGAAGTACATTTTGCCTGATATTTTTATGACCCTTCCAGTTTGTTTCTGCTGACTGTTCATATGGTATGTCTTTTCCTATCCTCTCACTATTTGTATCTTTATTTTTAAAGTGTCTACAGTAAGAAATAAAGAGAGAATACTGATTACAAAGAGCAATAGCCAACTCTGCTCTGCAATCTGACAATCTCCACCTCTTGACTGAAGTGTTTAGTTTATTTCATACTTATGAAGTTTTTACAGTCAGGACTTTGCTGATGGTATCCTTAAGCTATCAGTGATCATGCTTTTCTATCTTTTTTTTTTTTTCCTTTATGTTGGAAGTTAGATCAAGAGGTTTGATCAGATTTTTCTTTTTCCTTTCTCTTTCTTTCTTTCTTCTTTCTTTCTTTCTTTTTTTGTAGTGACTATTGTGTATTTTATTTGGAGGTAGCTAATATGTGGCATACCTGGATCAATTATATCACTAGAGGTTACAAAACAGTGATATTCTAATTATGTCATTCCTTTTTCATTTGTTAGGTGGAATACTTCTATGAGAATAAACTTTACGTCTATTTGGTTATATTAAAGAATAGTTCCTATAGGAAGGGCTTGATTCTTTTGCCAGTTTTTATCTTAATTTTTTTAAGATTTTATTTTATTCTGGTTTTCTTTTTCAAAGATTTTATTAAAGGTCTTTACAGAGCAAAATCCAAACTCCAGATGCAGCTGCCACGGAGACCCTGTTAACATTGTGGGTACTGGCTGAGGCATGGCAGGGAGCTCTGACTTCCCACCCTCCTGTCCCGAGATGGGGTTGCTGGGGAGTATCTCATATTTGGGTTCCACAATGCTCACATGATCTGGCAGGGGATTCTTACCACTTGGTCAGACTTACCACTTGGGTCTGACGGAAGCATGCTCTTCACTTTGACGCCCAGCACGCCCGGTCTGAGCAGCATATGGCACACAGCAGTGTCCATGTACTAGTTAACAGGGTCCTCACTGTGAGTCATCAGGCCATCCACAAACTTCATGGATTTAGCCCTCTGTCCTTGGAGTTTCCCAGACACCACAAGCTCACAGTCTTTGGCCCCACTCTCCATGATGAACCACAAGACACTATAGCAGGTCCTCCACACGGTGAGGCCTCCTAGGAGTTTATAACGTAGAGACTGCCTGGGCAATAGCACACAGACCTCCTGTGGCCACCTTTCCAGCATAAAGCTCTATGCTGCCCTCGGGGAAACCAAACCTCTGCTGAACTACAGGGATCAACTCTTGGATCTGCCAGCCTGTCTCACCCAGATCATTCCGTGCCCCGATAGCCAAGATACTGATTTCTGTCCTGGTTGGTGTAACTTGGACCTCAACCCTGGA